CATGGGCCCCATCTGACCGGACCTCAACAGCGTATTCAAACCAATTTAATAAAATCAAAAGAAAACAACAACAATGGAAACCGGGTCCCGAATTCTAAATTGGAAAAAAAAAGAGTTTTTTTAAAAGGTGGGCCCCAACTAAATACAAATAGAGGCAAGACCTTCGTGATGCTCCAAGATCTTGTTTCCCACGCGCCGTTGAGGCCATCATCACTCACTCTCTTTTCCCACGTCTTTCTTTCTCTCTCTACTTTGGTCTCATTATATAAACTCGTGTCCCCCTTTGCCACTTCCCTCATCACAGCCATTCTATCCGCGTCTCAGAGAGAAACCAGAAGAAACCCTAACCCTAGCCTTTATCTTTTTCTTCCCCCGCAACCCCTTTTTTTTTTTATTTAAATTTTTTTTCTTGTGTCCTTGTGTAATTTATTATACGGACATCATGGAGGAGTTGAGTAGCAAGAGGCGAGTCAGGGATGAGTCGGCCGAGTCGGATTTTGACTCGCCCGAGGTGAAGAAACTCAGGGAGGATTTGTTTTGTGCTCTTGATGACTCGGATCCGGACCTTGTGAGTCGGGATCTGGAGTCGGTGATGAAGAGTTTTGAGGTGGAGATTTCTGCATCGTCTTCCTCGCCGGCGCCGGTGGTGGATCTGACGTCTGATTCGGCCGAGTCTCAGCCGGATCTCGGTTACCTCTTGGAAGCTTCGGATGATGAGCTTGGTTTGCCGCCTCCTACAACCATCACGGCTGCCGGAGAGGATGTGAAGAGTGGAGGTGAAGTTACTGAGTTGGTGCGAGTCGACTCGGATTCATCTGGAATCGACGAGTTGTGGGGATTTGACGATCAGATCCCGGCCTACGGCTCGTTTCAGATGGGAGTCGGAGACAATTATAACGGTGGAAACGTGGCCTATGACAATTTATATGACTATTCGGATGTGTGTTTTGATTCTTCCGATTATTCCAGTTTCTTATGGCGGCCGGAAACCTCGTCGGCCGATTAAAGGAAAACCGGACGGAACACAGGACTGCCCGCCGTTTTGTAAATTTTTTTATTTTATTTTAAAAAGGATTAAATATACATAATTAGGATTAGAAGGTTCTAATGTAACTCGACAAGTTAGCCTTTGGGGATTCGCCAGTTGCTTCCTTTGAAGCGAATGGAATTAAATTCTTCCAGCCTTTCTGCAAGAATATATTCTTTCAGTATTTCGTAATTACTCATTTTTTAAGTACTAGCATCGTTGTGGAAAATTTAAACCGAGTACTTTTATCGAGCTTTTATATTAAATTACGAAATAGAGATTTATTTTTATGTATATTTTATATATTTTTT